GATTTTGATGGAGATGATAATTTTGGAGATGGAGGAGTTTAAAGACCATTTTAGAGGAATAAAATTTAAGATCAGAAAAGAAAAATTAATTTTCTAGGGGCATACGGCATGCATTCAGTAAATCCTCTTTAGTAGTACATAAATCAAATTGTGAATCCACACTTTGAATAATCATAAAATTGTGATTATTCCACTTCTCTCACAAGTATACTTAGATAAAAGTTTAAAGAACTATGTATAATGTATGTCTAGGTGTTCTAGACACAAACTATGTAAGTGATAAATTCCATAATTCATTGGTCATTATTGTTTGTTGATTGAACCTGACTGCTGTGTGTCAGTCCTTAGAGAAACAGTAGGTAATTGTCAGTCCCACTGTGGTTGTACTCCACTCTGCTGATTTCAGTCTACCTGATACTATGTTCTAATAGTGTAGAAGTCAATAAAAAAAAATAGTAATGGAGAACAGATGATTCTTAAGAACTTACCCATATATGCATAGTGGTAGAAGTCATTATTCCAACCAGACTTACAGTACAGTGCATCAGCTGAGAACTCCCTGTGCTAAGTGTATAAATTCAAGTATTCATAGCATATAAAAATAAAAGCAAAAGTCACTTGTACTGTGTATACAGAAGAGCTTCTACCATGTGCACGAGGAGCTTGATATTCAAGCTTTTCAATCCATGCAAACTTTGACTTAGATTATTTCTAGGAGCTTCGTTCACACGTTCTTTGGCAAAGGAAAAGTGACTAAAAACACACCAAAGCACAGAATGCTTAACTTTATGTTGAAAAAATTAATACTCTCCAATAAAAGAAATCTAAAAAGATAATTTCAACTCTTAAAAAGTAATATCCAAAGAAACTTAAGAATTAATTAATAGGAATAAAATGAATAGCTATTTTATGATATTCAAGAAGAAAAAACTATAAAGTAAAACACATGATTTCACTACACATAAAAATTTGTAATGTTTGAGTTTTGTTGGCTAGATGATCACATATGTACATGGATAAATCTGTGATATGATAAATGCTGAAGATGATCATCACCTTTGCCAAATCAGTTACTTAATAAAGATCACACTAAGAATTCTCATGTGTTTGTGAGACTTTTGAGAAGATTGAAACTATGGCTCGTGTTTCATAAGTTTCCCCTCTTGTTTGATTTGGATATGGGTAATAAATACTTTTAAGTATTTCATATTCTTTTGCAACCATCTACTGAGTGAACTATCTTTGAAAATGACCCATTTTTATGCCATTGGATGAGTTTCCTCGTATCACATCTTTAAAAGAAGGAATCAAGAAATCTGGCTTCAAAATCCTCCATCTTTTCTGGATCTCCCTACTTCATTTGGAGATTGAGGGGTTTGAGTTATTTTATCTCCCAAGTCAGTCCCAGTCCCTAAAAGTGACCCAGCAAGTTACCTAGGTACTTTGAGATATTTGAACAGATTCAAGAAAATCTCAAATCACAATGAAAGATGTTGCCATTGCATCCATATGGAAGTACAGAACAAAACTTGCCAACAGTTGCTGCTCATTACAGCTGATATGCTATAAATGGTTGTTGACACTAAGACCAGATGTCATGGAAAATCCTGCATCATTAGAAAGCAATTGGGTGGGGAAGGAACCTGTGTGTGAGAATGTCAGTAGAATCTATTTAAAAGCCAACCTAAAAAGTGATTCATTAGAGGAATTTAGAGATAATCTCAATACATAAAGATTAGCATAATAGACTGAGTTAAATTTAAGAATATAGACATCCCTCAAGTTATGAACATTCATTGTGAATATTCTGTGTCGTCGTGCACATAGACATGGCCAGCTGCACTGGAGTGTAATAATCATTAATGTGTATATTGTTCCATACAGAGTACAGAGCTCTTATGATAAAATCCAGTGATATTTTATACTTTTATGTATACTGTGATGAAATACATGTTTATTTGAGAGATGAAGGAACTAATTAGCTCCAAGAGTCTATGAGTTACCCATAGTCAGTAACAGTTAATAACAGTCAGTCCCAGGACATAAACCTATCTCTCCATCTTTTTCCTAGAGCATTGTGTTGCCAATTTCTCTCATGTTCAGCTGTACACTGGAAGAGCATTGTTTCTGATTTTACCTTTCTCATTTGCTTTAGAAAATCAAAATACTTGAATAGTAGCAGATAATAGCAGTGATCCTTTTTAAGGAAGCAGCCACTAATTAGCTGAAAGATTCTACTATTTCAGCTTTTGTTAAATACAATCACAAATTATCTTCTTTTCTATAGGTGTTCAAAATTTGAACTAACCTACATGCCAATGAGCTTTCATAGTGCAACACAAATTTAAGTTGGATACTATATAAGTGGTAAAATACAATAGGATAATTCAAATTTTGAATATATTCCAAAGGGTCATATATAAATCAAATTTGTGTGCTATTTCTAATGTTTCCTTGCAGCTGGCCATTAGAAACAATCTTGTGATGAAACATTTTATGAAGCAAATAATCATTTAATAAAGTCAGTAAACATCTTAATTTTTCAGTTTACATTCCATAATTCTATATTTTAGGTTTGCTTAAAAATATGTACAAACATGAAGCCATTTTAGTGCTGTTAATTTTTAAATCTACACAATAACCTTGAAAGAATCCTGCCTTTTCCTGTACATAACTGCAGCTGAACAGTCTTCATGGGTATAAGGTAAAACATTGATCCAGAGGGATTATTTCCCTGGATGACTCACAAGGCCCCATAGAGAGGTCTTCTAGGTCATCTCTAGGTATGAATATTTGTCCCAGTCATTCAGAGGCCATGCATGATAAAACTCTAAGGTGTTACATTTCTTCTGAATTGGCAGATACTTGGTGTGTAAGGGCATAATGCACACAGCACTGTGCAGAAACTTATTTGATCTAGTGATAAGAATAAAAACACATTAAATATTTTAAAAGTTTATTCACTGTTGGCACTGGCATTTGCTCAACAAACTTCAGTACCACTTGATTTAAAAGACCTAAAATGATTGACTTCTAAAGGGATTGGAACTCTTTCCTTGAATGAATCTGTGGTTGACAAAATAGGACAGATGTGTGTTAGCAGAGATCTCAGATATCTCAGTGCTTTTGAATGTGAAGGTTACAAAGAATTAAACTATTGCTTACAGTTCGAGTGGTTTTTTTCCAAGTCATTTATTTCATAAATTAATAGCTTCAAATCACTTTGTGATTAAATTAGAAAATGCATGAATGTAGTAGGCTACAAATTTTAGTTGTGAGAATAAAATGTCAAGTATTAGTAACAATATGGTCAGGTACTGTATTACATTAATAGATAACTAGAGTTCCAAGTAATTTTGAATGTTAAGTTTTTACTAAAAGTTATTTCAGCATGGAGATCTTTCATATTCTTGAGACATCTTCATCCCAGGGTCCAAATTATCATGTACTTAGTGTTGAGATAATTTAAAAACCCTATCAGCCCTAAGAAATTACAAAGTTTTCCTTACAGTTACCAATTGTCATAATAGTGATGAATCTGATGGCAGTGAACAGCAATAGCCTGAAGAAGTATGGTACTTGATTAAAACTTACTTGCCTATACTCTTATTTCTTATAGACTTAACCTAATTTTTTCAAGTTCTGGTTATGAGTCTTTGCTAATTTGCATGGCTGGCTTAATTAATAAATTAAATATTGGTTTAGGCTGTGTTTATGCAAGGTCAAAACAACCAACAGAATTGCTTAATTCAGTAAGAAAAAAGTAGCTATTTCATGCCAAAAAATATTGAATTAGTTTGCCAACACATAAGCAGAACCAATTTGAATGACCTGAATATTTAAATTTCCAGACAATTGTTTTGACACTTGTAGATTCCATTATTTCCCAACTTTTTTCAGTCTGAGGCTCACCTCTAAATTTGCTGGGGTTTACCCAATGGAAGAAGATTGTTGAACTACTCTCCCACATATGAATGTACCAATCCAGCTATATACCAGATACCAGATACCTGGGGATGGTAGACTTCACTGTATGTATTAATCAGCCTCCTCTTTCTGATGGTCTTCTCCCTTAATTAAGGCTAAAATTCACAGAGGTGGATCAGTGAAATCCAAAAGTTGGCTCTGGTGCCTATTTTCAAAGTTCCAGTGTGTCTCAATGGCCTGGTTGGGAAACAGTGATATAAACACAGCCTTATTCCAAGACTGAATTGTCAGTCCTTGAATAATGATAAATAACCAAGAAAATAAAAATGTATCTTTCTTATAGTATTCCAAGATATGAGAACAAATGTATAAGGAATGCTTTGAATCACACTTTGTAGGCATATAAATTATGTTTTTAAAAACTGGCTTATAAGGAAAAAAGCTAACTATAACATTTGGCAAATAGTAGTACAGTCTTACTGCCTTTAAGAATAAACAGATTCTTAAAGACAGCAATTATTACATAATTCAGAATAAGACTCCAAAATTTGTACAGAAATTGTTTGGAAACATTGAGAAATCAAAATCACTACATTTGGGTCCAAACTCTTGAAGTCAACTAGGATTTAATTTGCACAGTTTCATTTGCCAAATGTCTGTAGATTGGTCCAACTCTTGTTATCATTTTGCCAAGTTTCCTTCTGCTGAAAATGTCTGTGCTCTATTAGGCTTCTAAGTCAATGTCCATGGCCAAGTCTGGACCTCACCAGCCCTTGGAAGCATGTGAGCAGGTCAAGACAGGTGCTTCCGTTCATTTGATCTCTCCCCAAGTTTATTCTTTCTTCTGCCCAGTATCTCTCCAATGCTTTTATGCATCTGTCTGAAGCCTGTACACATGATAATTTGTAATCATTTTTCTAACCATATTTTCCCTGGGATTTAGGAATGACAGTCTCCAGGAGAGAGGACAGTGCATGACTCCCCCCCCCCCATCTTACAAAATGTTGTTAGTTTTGAGTAGTCTCTTAAAATAGGTTCTCACTTCAGTCTCTATTTTTTCTTTCTAAATAAAGCCTGAGAATTTGCTTTTAGCTAGCAAATCCAAGGGAGCAGCTGTGAAACTGGCAGACTTTGGCTTAGCCATAGAAGTTCAAGGAGACCAGCAGGCGTGGTTTGGTGAGTAGGGCCTCTCTCTACTTCATGCTGTTCATTCTCTTCTGACTGATCATAACCCACTTCCCAGCCAAAATAAGACAGAAATGTTCCTTCTAACAACAACCTGACTAAACTGAAGATATTAGACCTTTATAGGCACTTAATTTTACTGACATTAAAAGGTATATATTATCTAGAAATAATTTAAGAGAAAATATTAATACAAGAGTAATAATATGTAGACTTTTCCTTAAAAAATGAGTGAGAAAATAGATCTTACACTAAGAATTAATAGGGGATCCCTGGGTGGTGCAGTGGTTTGGCGCCTGCCTTTGGCCCAGGGCACGATCCTGGAGACCCAGGATCGAATCCCATGTCAGGCTCCTGGTGCATGGAGCCTGCTTCTCCCTCTGCCTGTGGCTCTACCCCTCTCTCTCTGTATGACTATCATAAATAAAAAAATTAAAAAAAAAAGAATAGGGAGGTTTGCAATGTTAGAAGATCACTTTTTATTTGGGAGAAAAGTGATTGTTTACATAGAACCTTACCTGATGCCAAAAACTGCTGTGTAAATAGTAGATACTCAGGAAATATAATATTTCCACATATTTTGTGGTTAACAAATTAAAGTTTTAAAAATATAATAGTGTTTATGTGTGTGTTCATCTTAATTATCTTCTATTTCTTCAAACTGCTGGTTTCTGCTCTAAAATTCTGATAATTTTGAAATTTCTGTATGATGAAATTTCTGTTTCTTTACAATGAAGGAAAAAATTAACTCTAAGTTTAAATAAGAGCATTGCTAACCAGGCTTGTGTATTGTCTCAGTATTTATCCTGTTAGGTTATTTTATTCACTGGTTTTGTGTGTGTGTTTGCCTCTGTTTTTGCCATTTCCCAGTACTGACCCATTTTTCTTCATGTAATCTCCCAAAATATAACCTCTCCTCCAGCCTTGATCTTACTTCTTTTCTGACTTTCAGTGTATTGAGGTTAGATCGTTTTTTAAATGCTCTTTGTTTCTGATTGCTTTTCCTGTGAACAACCGCAAATAGAAAAAGCACCCAAAATATAATTACTCATTTCATTTTATATGCAAAGACTTTCTTTGTTTGCCTAAATTTAAGGTGTGCACAGAGTCCCCAGGGTTCACCATTGTCTCTAATCTGTCCCAGCTAGTAAATGAGCCTGGATGATGTGACAGCCTTCTCCCATCTTGTCTATAGGCAGCTTAATTTAGGACCTCATTTTCTGCTTCCTGTCCTATCTCAGTAGTATCTTACTGTTGGCCTTGTCCATGATTCCTCCTAAGCTTAATACCACTGTTTACATTAAGTCTCTCTTTACCCACCAAATGAATTTAGTATCTCCAAACTTGGCATTTGGTTTGTCATATTTTGGCATATGAGTAAGCTTGTTCATATTAATTGCAAACTGAAAGAAGTTAGGGCTTAGAATAAGTACTGTAAATTGGAGGTTCAGAGGCATCTTTGTATCCTGGGTAAGAGCATGGTTGACAGAGATAAAGAGTATATGGTGACTTGGAGTTGCAGTCCCCCAGAAAGTAACAGGCTATCACAGAGATGGGCAGAGTAAGTAAAGGGGGTGCTTAAATTAAGCAGGAGGTCTGCCCCTCAAGATGCTGACAATGACTATTTACTGTGCAATGTGGGAGCATCTTAACGGAGGCACATGTGAAGGTGCTCTGGAACACAAGAGAAGAAGTATGAAATTCTGCCTCTGGGGAAAGTTTTGGTGATTGGGATAGTGCTTGTTTCCCTAATGGGTAAATGAGAGTTTGTTCACTAACATGTAAGGAGATGAAGGCCAGACAGAAGGATCAGCACATGAAAAATCTCAGAGGCGTGAAACTTGTTTCTATTTAAGGAATAACAAGAAGTTTGATATAGCTAAAGTATAAAGCATACTGGGATGAATGGTAGATAATTAGGTGGGAAAGGATTTTGTGTGCTTTGGAAGGATTTGGCTTTTATCCTAGAAGTTTCAAGAATCCTGTGAAAAATTTTAAGTAGGGAAGGACATAATTAGGTTTATGTTATATAATGATTTTGTGGGTAACAATGTGGAGAGTGTGTTTAAGATACTTACTCTCAAGGCAGGGAACCAGTTAGGCTAATACAGTAGTTCAAATTATGCATGATGACAGCTTGAGCCAAGAAGTACAAGAGCAAGCAAATTCCAGATAACTTGCAGAACAGACAGTGACTCTGAGCTCTAAGGAGGTCCGTGTAGAAGAAATCAAAGACCCAGAGGTTGAACTCTAGTCACATCTAGTCTCATCTGCGTCACAAGATTCAGGGTATGAAGCAGGACACTAAAACAGGGACTTAGGCTAGGGATATAATTGCCAGAACTGGGTGTAAGGTGATGATAGGATGTTAGGAACAAGACAGGCTTTGCAGCTAATGCTGCAAATCAACATCGGCAACTTGGCTTCATACTTAGAAGACTGATATAATTGAGCACCTTAAATCTCCCCTGTTTTTGAGCTCTGTGTTTTATCCCCTTCTTTAGATCACAAGCTGTTTGAGGGCAGGATTGTGTGGAGTAGAAAAAAATTCTGCTTTTTGAATTAGAATACCCAAGCTCATATCCTGGGTATGATTCTTAATAGATATATAGTATTGGGCAAGTCACTTTAACTCTGTGAGTACATGTCCTCTTTGTAAGCAGTGATAATAAACACTTCTTCGCAAGACCATTATGAATCCATAGGTATTCCCTGGGCTACGAAAGATGTTGAATACGTTTTCAAAACCATCTTGGCATGAAGCACAATGTCACAGTTCTTTGCCTGTTCAGTGAAACTTGTTGAGCAAATCAATCAGTAAAAAACCCAATATCAAATTAGCAAAAGCAATAGCATTTAAATAAAAGTGTACACACATTTCAAATTGTGATCATTTATTTCTAAAAGTGATCTGATTCCAGAGAAAGAATGACAGATTGGAATAAAATCCCCATTTCTTTTTCAGTGTGATATTATAACCCTTATGTTCTTACTAAGATCCCTATTAGAATAATGATTTTTAGGAGGTGCATTAGAAGTCCTAAGAAAATTCATCATTTCAAAAAATGTAGAAAAAACAGTTTATAAGCTTAAGAGAATGCACAAGTTTTTCTTTTTCTTTTCTTCTTTAGCTTCTTTTCAGCTTATTCTATGCAAGTGAATCCTCATGGTAACCCACCTGAGGAAAAGGAGGCATGTGGTATACTATATATCTTCTGGGTGTACTACCAGATATATCACAGATTTTAAAGTAAATGCCTGTTTTAGTATGAATGACTTGGTTTGATTTTTATTCAGTATTATCTACCATAATAGTCTCATGTATTTGACTGATTATTTTTTAATTTAAATTAAAGTTAGTGGGGATCCCTGGGTGGCTCAGCGGTTTGGTGTCTGTCTTTGGCCCAGGGCATGATCCTGGAGTCCTGGGATCGAGTCGCACATCGGGCTCCCTGCAGGGGGCCTGCTTCTCCCTCCGCCTGTGTCTCTGCCTCTCTCATGAATAAATAATAAATCTTTAAAATATTAAAGTTAGTTAACATATAGTATATTATTAGTTTCGGGGGTAGAGTTAAGTGATTCATCAATTGCATGTAACACCCAGTGCTCAATTACATCAAGTGCCCTCCTTAAGGCCCATTCCCCTTGACTGATTAATTTTATCTTTTAAAATGTATTATCAGTGATAGGGAGGGGAACCTTTTTATTTTTAATAAAATAAGTTATTTTAATTTTAAGATAAGAGCAGAACTCTTTTTTTCATTTTGTGTAATGCCAGAATTTCAGGCTTTTGCTCAATTTTATTATAATAAATATAAGAGGTCTACTACAAATAAGATAAATAAAACTACACAAAGCTTATAGAAGCTGTTTATTGTGTTTTTTAATTCTCATTTGTAAGTCTTAATGTTTCTTTTTCTCATGATAATTTTGTCTGTCTTCCTAGCCCTGTTCTATTTGATTCTAGCCAAAAAGCTAGAAGTAACACCCTGTATCATTACACTTGTTTTAAGATGGCTAGAAAATTTACCAAAGAGAAATATCCAAATATAGCCCATTTCTCCTGTGGGATTAGAAGTGCTATTTGCAGTATAGTTCCTTTTTGCTGCTAGGAAAAAAGAATAACCACTACCATCTTGCTTCATAGAAAAATTGTTTTGCTTGATTAATACTATGTCTCTTTTTAAAAATAATGAGGGTTTCATGATTTCACTATTGGGTATTTACCTCAAAGATGCAGAGGTAGTGAAATGATGGGACACCTGCACCTCGGTGTTCACAGCAGCAATGCCCACAATAGCCAAATGTGGAAGGAGCCATGATGTCCTTTGACAGATGAATGGATAAAGAAGGTGTGATACACACACACACACACACACACACACACACACTCTCACAGAATATTACTCAGCCATCAGAAAGAATGAATACCTACCATTTACTTCGATATGGATGAAACTGGAGGGTATTATGCTGAGTGAAATAAGTCAGAGAAAGACAATTATCATATAGTTTCACTCATATGTGAACTATAAGAAATAGTGAAAGGGTCCATAAGGGAAGGGGGGAAGCTGAGTGGGGAAAAATTTTAAAAAGACAAACCATAAGAGACTCCTAACTCTGGAAAACAAACAAAGAGTTTCAGAAGGGGAGGTGGATGGGGGGTTGGGGTAACTGGGTGATGGGCATTAAGGAGGGCACATGATGAGATGAGCACTGAGTGTTGTATGTTGACAAATTGAATTTAAATAAAATATAAAAAAATATTGGTGTTTTTAAAATGCAATGAATACCCATTATAATTATTTGGATTCCCAACAGTAAGTAATTATGTTTTGATTTTGGTCTGTTCTGATACTCCTTTTGGTTTTTCAGATTAAGAAGCATGTACTACCTCTAGAGAAGGCAAGCTCTCATAATTTCCCTGCTAATAGCATATATCATGATAAATGAGATTCTTATGAGTAATCTCCTGCTAAAAAAGGCTTTTCCTGTCTTACCCTAAGTATTTTGGTATTCATGAGAACACATTACACAGTACACAGTTCCTTTATGTTTATATATTTAAAATATGCTTCAATAGTTTTAGGACTAAGGACCCCACTGACGCTCAAATGATAATTATATTAAATAAGAATGAACATGATGGTGTTTTCTTAACATTTTATTTTAGTCTCCAGAAAAGGTTTGTAATAATTTACATTTAAAATTATCTTTTCATTTCTTAGTCACTTAATGAATTCTTCTTTATCTTTATACCTAGATGAAGTATCATTAACATTTCCTCCTCTAGGAAATATATTCTTCTAAGAAATTTAATACCTATATTAAAGTTTACTAATTCTAGGTAGGAGGTTGTAGATTGTATATAAAAGGGTGGTAGAAATTCAGAGTGAGGAAGGACCACTGAGAATTGTAGTTAGCTAAGGAGATCTCTAAGATGGAAATAATTTAGAGTTCACTCTCTGTTAAAGAAAAGGTAAAAGTAGAAATTGAGGTTTTTAAGGAACAGAAAAAATAACATCAATGGCAAGAATGAGAAATTTGTTTCAAGAGACCCTAAAAAGATTAATAAGGTCAAATGCTCAAGAGTAGAAAGAAATGTTGGTTGAATGAAGGGAAACCAGGTAATACACAGTCTTAAAATGTAGGCGAGGAACTTGGTCTTTAATCTGGAGTTTGGCATTGGTTTCTCATTGGGTTCCTTTGTGTCTCATCTTGGGAGGAGTTGTAAAGGGATCATTGGAATAAGAGTAGATGAGGCATACCCAGTAGCTCTTTAGGACTCTTATGCCCATCCCTGCCTTGGAATTAGCTGACTCCACATCACTCCTTGATGTAATTTTCAAACTTTGGTAATGGAACCACCGTGATTACTCAGGAATTCTTTGACCTCACACCTGTGAGGCAAATGCTCCTTTTAAGTAAAGTTTAAGAATAGAGGTGGATCCACTATGGTCCATGTGAAGCTTAAACTACTTTACAAGCGTCTTTTTTTGGAATCCCTTCTCATTGTCCACTCCATCTTCCTCCACAAGAAAGGAAAGGAAAAGTAATAAAGGGGTAGAAGGGATAAAATCCACAATCCTTTGCCTCGTTTTCTAAGGTAATTTTGTTCAGAGGAATAACCATGCTACTTTCTCTCTCTCTCTCTCTCTCTCTCTCTCTCTCTCTACACACACACACACACACACACACACACACACACACTTGTTTTTATCCTTTTTGCACATTGTTTGTACTTAATAAATTTGAAAATAGGAAGAAAAGGCTCCTTTCTTGAGCCCTTTAAATCCTAGTAAATATATGATGAGCTTCTCCAGTGATTTGTGGTCAGAGGAATTCCTGATTACATTTCCTTTTAAAGAAATGGTTCCAATTTTGGGGGTATCTTTAAATAAAACTTGCAAATAGTTATTTTGGATCTTTTTAAAAGTAGCTATTTTTATTTGAAAGCTATTATTTTCAGAAATAAGAAAAATGTCACTCTAGGTCCTAACTCTAAATTGATTATTATTTAAGCATACTTTATCAGAAAGTATGCTTTACACTGATATATACAATAGTGAAACTTTTGTTCCACTTTTATTTTACCATTTTCTTTCTCTTACCACATCTCTCTCTTAAAATTCTAGTTGATACTTGTTCAATAGTGATTCATACAGATGTTCCTGAGTCTTCTCTTTAGTTGACAGTTATAAGTACGCACTGACTATTTATTAGAACACAGTGATCTCTTTGATATATTTAGGGTTTATTTCTTCTCCTGGTGAATTCTTCAAACACTCAGCCCCATTACTACCCCATAGACTACCTCACTTTCAAAAATATTTACTTAGGATCTATTTTTTTTGTACTTTTGTTTTATAGGTGAGTGTGTCTCAAAATTATATTGGTATCATGTTAACTATCATTTCTTACAAAGTTCTAACCCGATCGTCAAATTTCTCCCTATTTCTTTTCAGATAGAGGAAAAGAAAGACTTTTTCTTTCCCCTCTTAGTTCTGTGGCTGGGGCCTGTGAGTTGAAATGACAAAAGACTGATTAACAGGAGAAAAGCATACAGTGCTTTTGATGTTAATATTTTAACTCTTACATAAACACAGGGGCCTTTCTAGAAAATTAATGAAGACCTAAAGAAAGGCCAGCCTTAGGAGCTCATATCCCGTTTTAACAAAGAGTGATAAAATGTGGCGATTTGACAAGACAAAGGGAAAAGGAGTTAGGGCTGGGGGTATTAAATTGTGGGGAAATAACAAGGAAACCTATAAGGACACTAATGGAAGATCAAGGTTATTTTAGTAAGGTTGGTTTGTATAGATCCATCTTGTCACCAACTCCTGTGCCAGGAATTTTCCCTTCTTCCTGGTACAGGGAGGGCACCTTTTCACAAGAATTTATGCCCTACTTTTAGGTAGAAAGAAGATTAAAGAGCCTGTCATACATCTGCTGATTCTCAGTTGCCTTCAGCTAAAAATAATCAGTATGCCACAGTGACATATTTTGGGGTGGTATGTTCTGATCCCCTTCAAAGGTTTATTTTCAAATCTTGCATAAGTAAGTGAGAATAAGCACTAACCAAGTAGACTTAAGTAAAAATTCTGACTGTATGGTACAATAGAATAACATTCATATCTGGGAAAAATGCATTTTTTTCTAATTAGCTACAAAGCAGGTTAGTGTGATACTGCAATAGAGAGAAACTAGTGTACATTATTTTAGGCCTGGTTTTCTCTTGACAAGCATATCATCAGATCAAAAATCCCCAAAAATATTTTCTTCCTTAGTTTCCTGTTTCTTGGTTTTGTCAAGTGAACTCTGACTCATTAACCTTTTTTTCTTAGGTTTTGCTGGCACACCCGGATATCTTTCTCCAGAAGTTTTACGTAAAGATCCTTATGGAAAGCCAGTGGATATGTGGGCATGTGGTAAGGAATAATATTTCCTTGCAAATTTTGCAGTATACCAGTATAATTAAAAATAGTATTTTTTAAATTTGAAGTCGATGCTCATTAGGAATCAGCTTAGAATAGTAGTTCTCAAACTTCAGCCTACAACAGGTCACATGGAAGGCTGGTTAAAGCACAGATTACTGCATCTGATTAAGGAGGTCTAGAGTGGAAGCATCTATAATTTTAGCAAGTTCCCAGACAATGTTAGTGCTTCCAGTATCAGGAACCACTGAGACCGGGGACACAGATCATCCCCACTAGTGGCCATGCATTTATACTGTTGTCCTGCCACCTCATTCAAGCAGTCCTTATAACAGATGCCATGTTTGCACAGCATGTTTGGTTGGCAGGGATTAAGAGAGAAAAAGTGGATCTTGGAAAAGGATGAAACTGGTCTGTCCTATGGACTGAACTCAGAATTAGGCCTTTAGCAACCAACTCCAATCAAATGAGAATCCTATGCAGGCTCAAAGACACTTAATGTGGAGGATTCCCACCAGTTTTTAAATGGAATTTCTCTGTGTTAACATATACAGCAAATAGGTAAAAAACCGAAATAAAAGGGATACTATAGGATGCACTGAAATATTTTTCAACTGGTGTTACTGACACAAACTAGTCCTCTAGGTTCCTGACACTGCCATCGCTACAAGTCTATAAATAGTTTGGCTTTAGTGTGCTGCAAACAGACTTCATGCCTTTGGTGTTTGTCAGTAAGCCTGGAAAGAGTTGATAAAAAAAAATGAAAACTTTTTTTCATTCCGAAAATAACTTTTTAGATTTGGCTCTAGTGAAAAAAATAATAATTTATTACCACTACTTCATAGTAATAGTTATCCTTAACCTATCAGTAACCACACTATATTTCTTGTCAGCTTTATCCTATTAGCAATAGCAACTTGGTGTTTGATCTTAAACTGAATGCATCCTGGGCCTTTAGACTTACCTCCACTCCTAGGAAAGCAGTTATGGGAGGAGCACTGTATCTGGAGTCATAATGCCTGCTTTCAGATCTTTGCTTTGCACCTACTAACCCTATCTCTAGTATCTCTGAGTTGGTTTCTTTACCTGTCAAACAGGAAAATATTGCCCTCATAGAGTTGTATGGAGGTCAAATAAAAGCATTTTATAGTTTGTAAAGAAATTTAAAATGCAAACAGCTATTACTCTAAAAGTTGGATTAATTAAAGGGTAATGTTGTATGTGTACTATGTCATCTTCCTGCCTAACTGAGAATATCTTCTAAGCATGAACTCTATGTCTTTGGGTTAGAACATTGTCACAGAATGTCCTTCTTGAAATCTAAATGCTAATGGCAAATAACTCACATATTTCCCTTGCAATGATCAGCTCTCATCACAGACCTCTCTTTGCTGATGAATTTAAAAAGTAGCAGTGTGTTGAGAGACAGGCAGACATAGATGGGTTTTATGGAGGATACAGCTGAGGGGAGTGTAGCTGGTGTGCTACACTCAGACCCCGAACACCAGCGGGCTAGTGTGGTAGAGACTGGTCAGTAGCTGAGGCAAGGCACTGAGAAGGCTTCTTTGTTGCCTTCATTAGACTTTACCTCTAACCTCCTCCCAACTCCTTTATTCTTCATCCTTTCTTCTTTCTCTCTTTCTCCTCCTCTCTCCCACCTGCTTCACAGGCAGGAGGCAGTGTGTGAAGTGCTTGAGTGGGTCTTCTGCTTTAGTGGGTCTGAACTGAGTATAGGCAGCTGCATTTTTAATATCTATGACATCATCAGAGTTTAGACTCACTGTCTTAGACTCACTAAATATACTACACTCAATTTTAATATTACTTTGGTAAATTTGAGTCTAATTGGCTTCTGGATTTTTTGTTTGGGTGTATTGTTTGTATAGCTAACCTTTTATAATGTATATTTTATAATAATAGGATTTCACATCTGTAAAATGTGAGGTAACTTACAGGGTAGAAGCTCTCTCTTGGCTAGAAAAAGGAATAAATATGGGTGAAGAGTTACTTCCCTCCTTATTGTCTAAGCCATATGCCATTCTTAAGAACTGTAAGTAAGTAGTAGATAGATAGTACATGTATACCTGCAGACATATATTCACACATACAGATCTCATAATAACTCTAGAAACTTAGAGCCATAGGGTATCTCACAAATTTCAACCTCAGTTTTCCCATGGGCAGAGCCACCTTTCACTTTGTGCTCAGTTAGTTAGTTATTTAGAGAGAGAGAGAGAAAGAAAGCAGGGGTAGAGGCAGAGAGAAAAGGAAAATCTCAAGCAGTCTCCACACTGAGCCTGACATCAGCTCAGGACCATGAGATCATGACCTGAGCCAAAACCAAGAGTCAGATGCTTAACTGACGACCCTCACTTTATTCAGTTCTATCCTTACCTTTGTTTTCTGTCCACAATTTTCTATAAACAGCCAAATCCCTTTGTGACAAGCCATGCTCCATTTAGACCATATTTCCTAACAGTTCCCATTTTCCTTAGAGATTGTGACATTTTTTAAAATAGTGTGCCTTGAAATGTATTTGGGATCACAAAGGTAACCACAGAATTGTCTTAGATATTCCAATATCACATATTTGGGGGAAATGACCCCCCACCTTCCATAAACATCATAATAAAATCTTCTGCCTTTTGTTACATTCTGGATCACTGCAGTGAGTGAGTTTGAAATGTTTTACCATTTTATTTTATTTTCATTTCACTCAGGTAACATGGAAGTTACATTAAATTCTCTTTATTTCTAAGATGATCCACCATTTCTCATTCCCATTTAAGAACCACCAAGGTAATGTACACATCATTTGATTACCTTTAGGCGATGGCAATCTTGAGAGAAACTCTTTTATAGCGATCCATCAGCACTGGCTCTTACCTAGTGAATACTTTTTTCCAAGGTTAGACGTTGCATAGTATTGTAGGAAATGACACTACACAGATAACAAATGCAAAATAAGACATTTAGCAGAATGGCAGCTAATCTGTGAATTAAGCTGTGAGTACTCACTACAGCAGATTATCTGTTTAACAGTTGACGTGGAGCAGAGTGAGGCACACTATTAGTATAATGGCTAAAAGAGGTCTGCACATTATTTTTATTAGAAATATGCAAAAACTGGTACATAAGAAATTTCAAATACTTACTACCATTACCTTGTTTTCGAGACCTCATACAGAGTGTAGTCTGATCTGTACTCAGTCTTTTAAAGTAACTAGTCCATTACTAGAAATCAAGTAATAGACATTAATGAAGCAAGAATATACCCCTGTTTTGTACCATTAACCAATTGATTTTGATGGCTTTCTTGCATATGTAGCTGTTTCCATAATTCACCAATGGAATGAGCAGATGTTGTTTATAGATGTCACTGAATCACTGGATTTTAACAGAACTTGCTTCTACATCTTGATTCAAAAAATGTAAGCCCATCTAAACATATCCAACACACACACACACACACACACACACACACACACATATCCTGGTCTTAACTACGTCTCTAATTGAATTAGATATCACTCAAAACAATTACGTGGTAATTGAGTGGTAATAAATTAGTGACTATCACAGAATGATCATGACTTGATGAACCTTTGGAATATTATGGAAAATATTCTTTTCTTGCATGGACACTGTAGCTTCAATATTTGTGTGATTACTGGACCTTAGAGTATATATCTGCTAACAGTTCTCATTCTCCTTAGAGATTATGGGGTTGTTTATGTATTTCAGCTGAGATAAGTCAGCATCAAGCACTTTTTAAAGAAAGTATTGACAGTTTTGAAATCTCAAGCCTACTGTAAAATTTGTTGCTATGCTTACCTTACACTGGGCAACATTTGTTGCTTATGATTACCAGTTCTATGATTACCTTACACTTGGCCATCACACGTATACTTCACAATTATAAGTCTCTGTCTTCATTCTTTATGACCCACATTCTCATTAGTCTTCTACCCATGGAGCTTTACTCACAATTATAGCCTCTACCAATATTTTCTTGCTCTTGTCTCAGATTTCTTAAGAAAATATTTATGGTTTCCCTAACTTGATGATTTACAAACTGTGGACAATGAACCCATGCTTCAAAGTGACCTGAGTGCTAATCAAAATTTTAGCTTCCTGGGATGCACCGGAGGATCACTTAATAAGATTCTCTGTGGTGAGGCTCAAGAATTTGCATTTTATCAAGCTTACTGGGTTATCCTAATACACACCAACATTGAACAGCATTACCCTCGGAGTTGCAAATTTCCTTAGGGCAGCAAATTTTAGGATACTTACACCATACAGCAGAGGTTGTAAACAGGTTGGTTTATGGATGTCTTGGCCAGATTGGCGGACCTTTCACTTTGGGAGGTGTTGACATTTATTATCTTTATAATTTGTTATCAAGAGATTACTTGTAAAACTATCAGTTTCTAGCCCCTCTAAAGTAAGCAAAAGAACTAATAACAAGATGCTTTTGTCCTTAAATAGCAACTGTGCCTGTCAGATAATGGACACATGCTCTCCCCTGATTACCACTCTCCCCGATGCACACTGCAAACTCAGGCATTCATTTCTGCCTGATGTTGGAAGAACTGCCAGTTTGCCACCCCTACTATATGGCATAATTTCTATCATCTGAAGACTAACTTCCTATATTACTGACCTTGACCTTCTTCTAGATCTTTGTCGTACCCATCATTGGCCCTGTAGGTCAGAGTTAAACACTTTTCCTATTTGAATTGTATGATTTTTTGCATAAGATATTACAATATAAAAGAGAGCCATACTTATTCCTCATATAGTTAATTATGCATTTCCAAACTCCACTCATAGTGTCTCCTTTATTTACTGAGAGTATTAAGTGTATGTCTTGTTAGATTGTTCTGTTAACTTCCCACTGACTTTTCAAAGTTTCTCAACATTGCTTTTTTCTCCTTCCATTAGAGCACTCATTAGAATGTTTTAATCATTAATGTGATTATAGGTTTAAT